TGTCCAGAGGAGGGACAGTGGGTGTATTGGTTTGGACATGTCCAGAGGAGGGACAGTGGGTATACATATAATTATGTATGAGTTAATGCCATTAGTTAATGTTGTTTAGCTGTGGCCTTGACTTTGAGTTTAATTGACTACCAAACTGAATGGGACATCTCGTAATTATTTTCTGAAAATGTAATTAAAATTCACCCAGTGAATCACAAAATATTTTGTTTACAGACAAACAGGGCTGACTCCAACAGGTAACAATTAAAACAGATAAAATCATGCTCAATGAGTAGCACTTAAAGTTATGTATTATTCTCAGTTACATTCTTTCAGCTTACAATCATAACAATGAGCCAGGAAATTTCAATCTAACATGAAAAAATTTATATATAAGTTTTTAAGCAAAAATACAACCTCAGAGAATTTTATTAAAAAGGCATTTCTTAAAATATTTATTGACATTTTTATGTAATTATTGTATTTATTTTAACATAACTCGTATTTTCCGCTTTGAGTTTCGTGCAGTTTGATCTCTTTGAGCCTCCGTAGCTGCGCCAACGCGTGGTCACGTGATCAGAGAAAATTATATATAGAGGTGTCAAGTCACGATCAGAGATACAACTGAACATGGCGTCGACGAGCCGGTACGTAAGAATTTTAGCTAACTGTTAAAACCTTGTTTTTCATGAATGGTTTACAAAATGTTTTGTTGTAATAAACAGTTCTTTAGCGTTCATTTGATGAGACAAAAGCGGCGTGTTGCTGGTAAAACTGTCTCCCTGACAGTTAGTTAGCTCGCAGGCTAACGCTAGAGATGCTACTAGAAGTCTGTTTGTTGCCGCTGCGTATTGTAGTTTTCTGCGTTTTACTCCGTATTTGTTTTGTTACCTTTAAGCTCTTTGCGTGGAATTATAATAAAATGAAAGTTGAACTTATGGACTGACTTGAAGTTCGACTGGCACCAGTTTTTGGGTCGGTCTGAACAGTTGTAAACATGATTGGTTTTCTTATGTTTGGAATTGTATTGTGTATTGTTAGCTTTGTTAGTGGACTTTTCGTTAGGAGACTGGGTTTAGTTGCGTAGTTACTTTCTTTGTGTCCGAAACTGAAGAAATGTTTTTATGGATACCTTACGTGGCAGTAACAGGGATCTGGTCGTGTGTTTATATATTTCATCGTAATATGTTCATTTTTACGYTTCCAGAGCCCAGTTCTACCAGTGTTATTCATTTAGTCTGCTTGTTGGTTTACTGGATCACTGCAACAATGAGCAGWCACTTTACAAGATGTAGTGTGGGACATTATCTGGACAAAAACAGGAAGTGAGAGTGAAAACAGAAGCTGCACAGATTGTAACAGTTTGTTTCAGACAACTGGTTGTACTTTTCTGATAAGATAAATACGATAAACTTGTTCGTATTGTTGATATGAGTAATTTTAACATTTTGAAATGTGTTCCTACGTAATGACTAACAAATGACTAATGAAKAACAACTTAAATTAATGAAATGTTAATGTTTTTACTTCTGTAGTTTGCAAGAGAACTGAAGCTGCAAAAATAAGTTTTTAATCATCAAATCAGAAATGAAAAATTCTGGTCCTTTTGTGACCCAAATTTTATTCAAAATGATCATAAAATAACTACATCATTTAACACTGTTGCTTTTTTCTTTATTTAATAAAAGCTAAATCAACAGAGGAAAAGGATAAAAAATGTATCCTTTAGAATCAGTTCAGACAGTTTTCAGTTGGAGCCTTGAAGTGTGGCGGCCCGTCGATCAGTGAAGTGTTAAAGGTCATTTCCAAACAATTTGGAGTCCATCATTCTACAGTTAAAAAGGTTATCTACAAGTGGAAAAGGTTTAAGACAGYTGCCATGTTTGACGTTTCTCTCTCTGAGGTTTCCTAATGATAAATGGGAAGAAAMTGCAAAAATAAATAAAAAGCTGAGCAAAAGCGTTCAGGCCTCAGTCAGCAGGTTAAAGGTCATGACAACACAATTTTAAAAGTACTAAACAAGTAGCTTGTTTGCAGGAGAAAGTTTCGTAGGTTTTTACCCATAATGCACAGAGCATTATTGTTGTTGTCAACACATCAGTGGACAGCTGATGGATTCTGCTTGTTCGGTGTCTTTCAGTCACCTTATCTGCGACCTGTCCAACAACTGAAGTTTGTATTAAATATTATAATGTGTTATTAAATCATCTTACTGTTTGCTTTTGCAGCGGAGAAGCTTTGGCCCTGCCGAGGGTTCAGTGTCCAAACCACCCCGAAGCCATTCTGGTGGAGGACTACAGAGCAGGGGACATGATTTGTCCTGAATGTGGCCTTGTTGTAGGTGAGACTGTAAAATATTCACACTAAATGGTTGCACCTCACGTCTTTCAGAGAACACTGTCTGTGGGCTGCTGCCTTCACCCAGCTGGACATTGGCTACGTTCACACTGCAGGTCTTAAAGCTCAGTTCCGATTTTTAGAAAAAATTTGATCTTTTTGTGTGAACGTTCACATTACATTTTAAATGTGACCTGYATCAGACCCCTGTGTGAACGCTACACAGCACTGATGTGACACACATGCGCAGTAAAAGACGTGACGTCTCATCAGCCGGCTTGTTTGTTTACAGAGCTAGCATGGATGCTACATATTACACATCGAATCTGAAGTCGTTGTTTAATCAGAGCTGATTAAATAATTATCTGACATGCTATCACCATATATATGTATTAGCTCAGCGCTACACATTCTCCTCTCGTCACTGAGGTCCTCCATCCACATGACAGAGAGGGGAACACAAAAATGACTCAGCTGCAACTGAAAATATGGATGCAGGACCTCAGTTTAGCTTGTTTGTCGCACTAGCACCGAGCTAATACATATAAGGCAATATAGTGTGAGGGTTAGTGCAAAGGCTAACAGGCTAAGCTGAGGTTGTTCTTCCATGAAGCAGCTCTGTTGTCCTCCATCCATATTTTCAGTTCCAGGCTGAGTCATTTCTACCTTCTCCTCTCTGTCAACGCTCTCTGGTTTCATTTAAAAGAGTCGATCATCAGATATTGTCCAAGATTAACCTTCAGGGYGGATATAGCTCGCTAGCAGCCTCGCACCGAGGACCTATCCACGTCATCATTTACCCAGAATGCTTTGTGTGGAAATAAAATGGCTCCGTCAGTGTTAAAATATATTAAAAAAATTTACAAAACAAAACATCCTACAGTGTTTTTGCAGTCTTTATTTTACAGTCAAAATAAGTGTTCATCAAATAAAATCTAATGTTACAACTAATCATGGATCCCTTTAAGACCTGCAAAGAAATAGAAAACTGAAAACGCTGTTTGCCCCCAGGTACCAGGTKTCCAAATGTTAAATTGTTTTAACATATATCTGCTGTCTTTTTGTCAATCAAATGTCRGGGATCTCACTATTTTTGTGCCAAATATAAAAAATATTTTACCAGTTTCTGTAACGTTTAGCTGCTCCTGGATGTAAACATGCCCCCTTTATCATGGTTACTCACCTCGACAGATCTCAGTCCTCCCAGCAGGACAAGAGAAACACTGAAAATTTTTTAAAACAGCGCTTTTTCTTTCTTTATAATGATATTATTTTTCAGAAGCAGTTTATTTATGTAAGTGTTTAAACTCAGAGTGTAAATGTTTTATAATTTAGGTTATTAAAGATAACTGTGCTTTATGAGATGATTTGAACTTGTGATGCAGACTGCAGGGACCAGAGTTCCCCTCTAATGAGCCCCCCAGATGCATCAGCTGCTTTCTGATGCAAGCTTAACGCCAGCTGGCCTCTGAGGAGATGAACGTCACTTTGTTTCTTCATCATAGACYGAATCGCAAAAAACAGGCTTAAAATATCAACTTTAATGTGAGAATTCACAGTACAGAAGGTCAGATGTTCGTTTACTCTTATTATTTTACAGCCCTGGTTTTTTTGTAATTTGGTGACTAAATTTATGGTTTATAGGAGAAGATGGACTCTGACATGACTTGAAGCTCCACAGTTCTTAGTAAAAGAGGTGCTTTTGTAGTTTTCTAAAACAAATTGAAACATAAATAATGACTACAACATCTGAACCCTGTGAGCCTGAAGTTGTTGATATGRGCCTTACATCGTCCTCTGGTAATGATTCCAGAGGGACGTGTTGCCTCGCTCAGGAACATCAGTTTTATCTGTTTATTGGCTGCAGCTGAAGACGACTCTCTGCAGCTGAAATCATTCAGTGTGTTTGTGAAGGAAAAATAAAAATGACCACATCAGGTCTGACTGATCRGTTCATTCTGTTCAAACCTACTGAAACATTGTTTCCTGCTCCTCTTTAAATCCACTGTTTGAATTGTTTCTTCAGGTGACCGTGTTATCGACGTGGGCTCAGAGTGGAGGACGTTTTCCAACGAGAAAGCTCTGAAAGATCCCTCCAGAGTGGGAGACGCTCAGAACCCGCTGCTGAATGGAGGAGACCTCACCACCATGATTAGCAAGGTGAGAAACCACCAGGTGGAGACAAGCACCTCTGTTAGCTGATGATTCAGAGCTCTGCTGTTCAGAAAATATCACAAAACATTCAGGTATCTCTAACTTATAGCACTTTAAATTCACACTTCATACATTTGAAAGTAGGTTTCTGTGTAAAAGTTAGAAATAATTATTTCTTATATTGCTGGTGGATAATTAAAGGACCTCAWTGTGGAGAAATCTTTTAATTCTGACCTAAGTCGGTCTGAATGAGCTACCTAAAATACCATTTTAAAACAGCTCAGTCTATACAATTTCATATCAGTTCATGCAAATTATATAATATAAATCTTTATATCACTGCCAATTTTATTTTTTATTTTGRTTTTCATGGTTATTTCTAGGGAAAAGAAAATTCCTGCCAGACATGTTTCTGGGCTGAAGCAGCTTCATTTTATTTCTTTACTGAACTTTAGCACATACGCAGCCTGCGAGGGAACATGCTTTTTTTTTTTTGCTTTGTTTTTGTTTTTTCCTTTTTTGCGTACCCTCGCAAAAGTAGTTTATCACTGTTGTGCCTGCCGGTTTATTAACAAATTTACCTGCTCACCATTAGCGAGTTAGCCTACTGCTTTAATTCAGCTGCAGAATGAATATATAACACAGCCACGCATGGAAGTATGTCATATGTTGATATTTTAACACAGTGCAGCCACGCAACATCAATGTCAGTTTCACGAACTTGTGGTGACACATCCTGTTTTGGTAACCAGCTATTAAAAAAAAAAGAGTCTGATTTGATTCAGTTCATATACAAAACAAATTTTTGCGTGGGAATGCAAAACAATTTTGCGAGGTAACACAAAAAGTTTTGCGAGCTAACACAAAAGTATTGCAAGCTAACACAAACGTATTGCGAGCTAACACAAACGTATTGCGAGGTAACACAATAGTATTGCGTGGGAACGCAAAAGAAAAAAATCCCCCAGTGTCCCCTCATGGACTCCGTAAGCACAAGATATAGGCTGACCCTGGCCAACGTTGGCCACACCCTACGTGGGCCGTAGGCTGCTTGAGTCGGCTTCATGAAGCTAGGATTATAGTTGAGTGTMGCGCTGGGTACAAGGGGGCACACGCCAATAGTGACACAGTCCTGCCCCTGCGTGTTGGCTCCACACTGTCCCGCCACATGGTCGTGCACCTCTGAATTTTTGTAACTCTGCAAAGGCTGCGTGCGCTGAGTACCAAACAGTTTGTCTGTCAAGCTTTTCTACTTAGACAACATTTCATAAGTTACAGGGCTCTMGAGTGCGACCAATTTGGTTGCAAAAGATGGTGGTAAGCTACACTGTAGCCACAGCTGCCCTGAGGGCTGCCATACACCGGCACCACCGGACCCTCTGACCACCATCAGTACGCAAAGTGGGAGAAGTGTCTTGCGTGTGTTATTGAACATAACAGAAGCTAACAGAAACATTACAAAAATTAGAGCTGGGCAGTATGACCCAAATTTTATATCACGGTATTTTCAACAATTACACCTGTTTCACGGTATTTTTTTCCTCACAGCTCAGCTGATAATAAAATGTACAAACTTTGATTATTGACTTTTTTTCTTTTCCTGTACCTCTGTCTGACTGTTTCCCTCCTCTGTCTGACTGTTTCCCTCCTCTG